TAAATTACAATATTTAAAATCATGAGTCAATTGAAGCTAGACCATCATGGAAAACCTGAAAGCACTGGACGGCCGTTTTTTCCTAATATGGGACTCCTAAGCAGTACGCGTCAACGATTCCGCATGTGGGACTCGGAAATAAGACCTACGGTGTCGCTCTAAAACACTTAACCTCCAGACCATTGAGCTGGCCGTCATTCAACGGTGTTAATGTCTAACTTCGACCAATTCACGAAATTGCGCCACCATACACCATTATCTTCAATGAGCTGACATCTCACAACAGACCTCGTTGAACTTCACTGGTCACAACTTCTCACTAGAACTCCAAGAAATGCTTCATGAAGTCAGTCACTAGTGAATAGGTGATTATTATCAGAAGGGGTTTTGTGAAGATTTTAGTAAAATATATTTGACAAATATGATAAGCTCGTGTATACATATACATATATAGGTCATACTTTAGTATTTATGGCTTTATCAGTTTAATATACGTAATAACAATAGATTACCAAACTAATTTACATAACATATTTGAACTGAAAATGTCAACATTCATAAATTAAGGTTGATTATAACAAAATTTGTTCCTTATGAATCTATTGGTAATAAGAAAAAAAAGAAATTAATCTCAATCATTGAAATCTAAATCATTCCAACATTTCATCTAGTAAACATCTCTGAACTTCTTGATTAAGATCATGAATTGATGAATGTTAGACCATTATTGAAAACATGGAAGGCCGTTTCGTCTTAGTATGGGACTCTTCAGTTGTGTGCATCCACGATCCCGCGCGCGCATGCAAACGCTTAACCTCTAAACCTCTGAACTTCATCAAACCAAATCTACACTAAATCTTGATTCAATCATATTGAATTGTTGAGTTTAGGAAGTAGGATAACATAATTTATGAAGATGTGAATCATGGGATAAGTTCACAAAGCAAAAATCAATGAATGTGTGTGTGTGTGTGTAACTTGATGTTAATAATGGTCAATGTTCAGTGAATGAGACAGAATTCCTATAGTTGAAAAATATATGGAACTCAAAATAACTATCAACCAACATCACAGTCAGAATCTTCAATACGAACATGAGCACAATTCTGTTGTACGGAGCTGAAACTTCGAGAACTTCCACAACCATCATCAAAATCTACAGGTATTTATGAACAATTATCTACACAAAATACTGAATATCCGTTGACTGGATACTATCAGAAACAGGTCACTATGGGAGAGAACAAATCAACTTTCAGATGAGGAGCAAATTAGTGATAGACGATGGAAGTGGATAGGACACACATTTCAGAAATCATCAAACTTTATCACAAAGCAAGCGCTTACCTGAAATCTTGAAAGAAAACGGAAAAGAGGAAGATCAAAGAACACACTGCGTCGGAAATTGGAAGCCGATATAAAAAGGATGAATAGCAATTAGAAACAACTTGAAAGGATTGTTGAGGACAGAGTTGAATGTAGAATGGTGGTGAGTGACTTATGCTCCTTCACGAGGGGTGACAGGCGTAAGTAAGTAAGTAAGTAAGTCTTATCGACGGTTGGGAAAAGACACGAAACCAATAGTTCTGCAATGACTAGACAATACCTGTGATAGTATACATTATCCTAGTTTTTATAACTCAGAATTCAATAACTGTGAGTGTATTAGAGCATTAAATGTACAACGTTTTACTTTCAACTACATTTAATGATAAATTGTGTAATTCTTACTCAAATTGTACTGAACAACAACTTAGGTATGGTAAAATCATTCATTAAATACATCATTTGCGTAACTTCCTTGAGTTGTTCTTTACGTATTCCATCATTCTTCTAATCCTTTTGTTATTCCGATCGTTCTTCGTTTCTCTTTCTGTTCTCTTTATTTAAATCTTTCTCTAATAAGTATTCAAATTCCAAGTCGTGTTACATACTACTTATATCTATCCATATAAGCAGCATACACCACAAAACCAACACCTTGATTAACAATCAATATTTAATCTTTTTTTAAGCGTAAACCACTACATCAGACAAAGTGGACGCGCTCTTCATCTACGCCTGTATGAACATCAATAAACGGTCAAACGCTATGACATTATCTCTCTTATATCAATGCACGTGAACTCCAGCGGATACACATTCGACTGGAAAAATGTGGAAATCTTGGATAGAGGCAATTATATAAGCAATTAACAAGTACACTGAAATCGATACAATTTATCAACTAATCTACAGAAAATATGGACGAAAAATCAAAGCAATGAGAGATACAACCAAAACAAAGAAGTAAACAATGACATATTTAATGTCAACAAGAACCAATCAACATCGAGGTTTATAGGATAAGCTGTTAGCCATATGTGGAGAAATTCGAACATTTCACTTCTATCTGAAGTTTGTGCTAATGATGTCGTTGAGAAAAATGATGAAAACTCCACAACCAGACCATCCAGCTCAGAGAATAAAACTCAATCAAGAACTAGTTATGTAATTTAGATGCTACAATTGCATAACGACTATATTTTCAGGCTTCTTTTTCAATATTACGATACATTATGAATATATAGTTAATCTATGCTTTAATAGAAGTGGAAAGTATATACAATTAATTATCTTAATTGACATGTATTCACTGTTACTTACCTACGCCTCTTACCCCCAATGGAGAATAGGCCCCCGATCAGCATTCTCCAACCTACTCTCTACTGGGCCTTCCTTTCTACTTCTATCCAATTGTTGTTCATTCTTCCAATACCTGTCTCTATTTCACGGCTTAATGTGTTCTTTGATCTTGCGCTTCTCCTTTGGCCTTAAGGGTTTCATGTGAGAACTTGTCTTGTGACACAGTTAGGTGCTTTCCTCAATGTGTGTCCTATCCACTTTCAGCGTTTCTTCCTCACTTCTTCCTCCGCTGGAATCTGATTTGTTTTCTCCCATAGTAGGTTGTGGCTGATAGTGTCTGGCCAACGAATCCGAATTATTTTGCATAGACAATTGTTATTAAACACTTGTATGCTCTGGATGATGGTTTTCGTAGTTCTACAAGTCTCCACCACATACAGTAGAACTGTGTTGACATTTGTATTGAAAATCCTGAAATTGGTGTTGTTTGATAGAGAGTTGTTTAGAGTTCCAGATGTTCTTCAATCGTAGATATTCTGCTCTTCCTTTTCCGATTTGCGCCTTCACATCTGTATCAGATCCACTGTACTCAATGTGTCCACTGTATTTTCTAACTTCGCGGTCTTTTGTTGTTTTTTTATATTGAAAATGCTAACTATGACAATAAATTATGTTAGAAAACAATAGGGAATGAGAAAAATTGTAATTCTATAGAATACATCCAGTATATAAATTATTATCATTATAAAGTTGTGGAGATAGACGAGTTTTGATTGAAATTTAGATGGTAATTAGAGGTAGTCAACAGGAAACCCTGGACCCGGAATTAGTGCTACTTGGCACTCGTCAGCAAGGTGTACCTGTAATCTTGAGGGAACTTAACCTCCTTGGCGGATTCGATCTCGTGTCACCCAGCTTCACATTCAGAGACGTTACCACTGAGCTATCCGAGCCGTGACTAACCTTCTGTAGGACTGAGATTTAATCACAATTGATTGATCACTGGGTGGTGATCAATGTCATGCTTGTCTAGTCACGGCTCGGATAGCTCAGTGGTAACGTCTCTGACTGTGAAGCTGGGTGACACGAGATCGGATCCGCCAGAGAGCTTAAGTTCCCTCAAGATTACAGGTACACCTTGCTGACGAGTGCCAAGTAGCACTAATTCCGGGTCCAGGGTTTCCTGTTGACTACCTCCAACCACCATCTAAATCTCAATACATAGTGCCTGCAGTGTCGAGTCACCTAGACTGGTGGCCACATTGCAACATGATCGATAGCATTCGATCTGCACTAATAAGGACTAGACAAGCATGACATTGATCACCATCCAGTGATCAATCAATTGTGAGTTTTGATTGAAATCATGAATCGATCAATTTTAGACTACCATTGAAAACCTGGAAATACTGGATAGCTTTTTCGTGCTAGTATGCAGTGCGTATCCATGATTCCTCACACGGGATTTGAACTCAGAACCTTCTACCCTGTTTACGAATGCTTAACCTCTAGATCACTGATCGGGTTGGCATCCAGTGGTAATAATGTCTAATTTATTCTTGCAGCTTATATTGAATTAAACCGAATTACATTGTAAGCAAGGACGGATGGGGGCTAGCAGATGAATCTAGCACGCATTCCACCTCATTCTATTTGTGATTTTGTAGCAACATCGAGGCAATCCTCACAGGATGTCAATAAGAGACTGATCAATTGCAGTGCTAAGTATCAATAGGAAAATTCAAACAAACAATACCATGTGAAGTTAAACTCCATACCATTACACAAGCAAGTTGCTATTAGGACTCAATAGCTAAGTGAATAATGCGATGATACTTGAAGTGAACAGTATTGGGTTCAGGTCCCGGAGTGAACATCAATTATGGGATGTAGGTATATCCAGCTAACCAGTCCCAAATAACACTATATGTCACGCATCCTGGATTCCACTGCTAGCCACCATCCATCCAAGCTTATAATGCTTGTGACATATGGCAATATCGAAGCAATTCTTATCCCATCCACATATACCAACAAAAGATTGATCAAATTTGAATCCTGAACATCAATGGATACATTCAAACAAACAATACCAAGTGAATGGAAACTTCACCCTATTCCACAAGCAAGTGACTATTAGGACTCGATAGCTAAGTGAATGACGTGTTAGCGTTTGAAACGAACGATACTGAATTAGAGTCCCACAGTGAACATCAACTATAGGATATAGGTACATCCATCTGACAAGTCCACTGCTAGCCATTATCCATTTATCAAACAAACAGTACAAACTAGATCAGATATTGATTATATTTCAATTCAATGAATTTATACTACTTATAAATTATTATCTTTATTTTTTTTTATTTTTTTAGTTACTAAGGAAAATGTTTTCTTCAAATAGTATCCAACCCATCAAATTTCATTCAATTTATATTCACTTAGTAACAATATTAATTTTAATTCATTATATCTATGAAATTAATGGACAACAATATGATTCATATAAATGGAAAACTATTCATGATAATCGTGATGATGAAGATACAACATATTTACCATTGAATAGAATGACTATTAATTCTTTATTACATCATAATGATCATGATCATAATAATAATGGAAGAAAAATTATTAAAACAAGAGCAATTGAGATTGCACCACCAGAAAGACCATTTATATTTGAAACTCCTGAAGCACTTAGAACATATTTACATAAATTAAATGAATATTTTGCAATTATAGGACGTCCTAGGTAATGATGTTCTTATTATTGTGTCATTATTATTATTAGTAGTAGTATTGGGTTTGTGGAGATGATTAAGTTTTTTTCTGATTGAGATCATGAACTCATTGATGTTAAACCACTGTTGGAAACTTGGAAGCACTGGACAGGTGTTTCGTTCTAATGTGAGACTTCTCAGCAGTGCGCATCCATGATCCTGCTCGTGGGGTTCAAACCCATGGCCTTCGATCATGCGCGCAAACGCTTGACCTTTAGAGTCTCCGAATGACCTGGTATGGTCGGAGGTGGAGAGAGTCAGATCTCCTTCCCCAAGTGGAAACGGAAATGCGCTAAATTAAATACCCCTGAACATGCTTGAAGATGTTGTAAAACTATTTTTGAGATTTTCTCTTGAAATTGAATCTTTGTTAGAGACTTCCATACATCTAATCAATTCCAGAGAAGTACTTAGTGTTAAAGTGTTTTATTTATCATTAACCGTTAAATTAGAAAACAGTTATTCTAATTAGTTTAACTCTATAGAAAAGGTCTTCTTAAATTAATAAAGATTTTACCTTCTTACGGTAAATCACTTGTAATTTGTACCTTTTATAAATTTAAACCAAACGAAAATGGAAATAATTGCCCGCAAATGCCCTGGTATGGCCGAAGAGTGGGGAGAGTTAACTCTCTCTCTCCAAATGCTCTCGCATGGCCACGTACATACAATCACTGACACAGAGATGTCCTACTCACTGCATTCTTGTGACACGGGTGTTGTTTACGAAACTGAGAGGATGAAAAGCGAATGTCTGGCGCTTTAACCGAGTTGGTGGATATAGAGGACTCACCAAGTGGGGTTAGAAAACTCTGGTTCTAAACCAATAGTGTACATAGGCTGGCTCAAGGATTCTAAGGAAACAAATGGCGTATGAATCAATTATTGGTGACCGGCTACTATGAGACTGCATCTCCTTACGTTATTCCACTGCTTTTTGGATTAGATCTTTAGGTCAAAGACTCGGGGTGTGACCCCCTAAGAAAACCGCCTGCTTCGGTTAAGGCACCGGGCCAATACCACAGCCCACACACAAATCAAGTGATTTGCGTGGCGGCATATATTCGGTGTCCCTTTGTATTAATATTTATGTTCAAATAAAATAAATAGAAAACAACCTTTAGACCACTGAGCCGGCATCTAACGGTGTTAATGTCTAACCGAAACCAATTCACAAAATTGTGCGACCATCTTCCATTGTACTGAGGTAGATACCTGTCTCAAACCATTGAAATATCTTCGAGCATGGATAATTCTCATATAAAGGTTTTAATACTTTTAAATCAACACTTCACGTGAGATGATATCAAATTTGACCTTATCTGTACAGTTGCCATGTAGAATGACTATATTCTCGGAAGACGATTAAGTTCGTCCTAATCGAAATTACTAGAAGTCTAAAGCACTAATTTGAAATGTATCTTGGCCAAACAATCAACGGCCTTTATCGAGTATATATATGGTTAGATTGATAGATAGATAGATTCTTCAATTCGCAACTACAACATATGGTTCCATTCACATCTGTACTTTCGATTTTCCCAGAATAGTCATGAACAATACTTTCACTGTAATTAAATTAACCTTTCTCATTTGATTTCATCACTGAATGGGTTCTTTGAATTCATATTTCTTAACGATTAGACTCAGAAATAACTACTTACTATCTAGTATTCCTATTTAAACTACAGATTTTTCATTACTTAACTTTCAGGTAGGAGGATATGTTTCAAAAAATGCTATATTGTTTCTTCGAAAGCATTGTACTACTCTTAAAATAGGTAGTAGTATAAAATCTTCCACATAAACTACCGTGTATCAATAAGAGAGGTTTCTTGCTTTTTTATATGATAACTACAACACTAGATAATTATCACTATCATCTTCAAAAGAATAAAGTTTTGTGTTCATTCATGTGTACGAACCAATAACATGTGCTCACTAGTGACTAGCTTTGTGAGGGAATTCTCGGAGTTCTGGTGAGAAGCCGTGACCAGTGGAGTTAATCCATGTCGGGTAGAGACAGGTATCTACCTCAGTGCAATGGATGTTGGTCGAGCAATTTCGTGGATTGTTTGATGTTAGACACTATCACCATTGGATGCCGGCTCAGGGGTCCAGTAGGTTAAGAGTTGGCACGAGAGACTGAAGTCCCTGAGTTCGAATCCCGTGAGCGGAATTGTAGACGCACTGCTGAGGAGTCCCATGGTAGGACGAAACGGCCGTCCAGTGCTTCCAGGTTTTCAAAGGTGGTCTGACATCAGTCGGTTCATGATCTCAATAAAAAAAAACTTAATAATCTCCACAACCCCTATACTAGTAACAGACATGACTTAGTTATTAAGATAGATGATGATTAAATTGCATGACTGTTGGCAACTATCAGAAAATCCGAAATTTCTTAAACATACGGAATTGGTTCACAAATCACTATTACATAATTCTGTACTTTGAAAGGCTCATTGATTGTCTATCTAGCTTACAGACTTTTGTTTACGGCTTCTGCAATATTTTTTAGAAACCAGAAATTTATTGGACTAAACTGTAACTTTCAAGTCTCGTTAACAAGAATGAACTTCCCAAAATGTATACGTTGAGAGTGTAGATATCACAAACTATCGAAAACGGATGTCGTTTTCTACATCATGTATTGGCACTATTTAGTCGAAGTTAACTGACCAAAAACTCCTCCTGGAGCCCCTATGGGGCTACTTCAGGTTCAAAAAACGTATAAAAGGGGAGGGTTGTGCATGGGGTTAGCGATCCCATCCCATAGAAAACTAACTCGCTAAAAAACGCTAACGAGGAAAAAATAATTCAAACCATTTAAACTCTACCCTGGGAATTAGAAGGACTTCATTTAGAAGAAATATGACGCCTCATGATGAAAGCGGAGTCCCTTCGGAAGTCACGAAGCTAATTCCCCTTCTGACTAACAGAGCAACCATCAATTTAGGTACATGGAATGCTCGTACAATGTGGCAGACCGGAAGAGTCTTCCGAATTGCTGGAGAAATTGAATAAAAGAAAGTCATCTGAAACCTTATATATTTATTTTAGATAGAACACTAGGATTGGAGACGTAATTAACATGGATTAATGTTATAAATAGGAAATTACGTCTATGGATTGCATAACATATTACTACTTGATGATAACTGAACCCATTACACTACTTATGATGTGACAATGACATAATATTCCAAAAATGCGAAGAATGTATTGTTATTCAAGTGTTTTTAAGCACACATGGAGTACTCAAAGAAAAGGAATAGTTGAATAGTAGTAATTTAATGACTGAATTCATGAATCAATGAAAGCTAAGCCATCATAGAAAACCTGGAAGGATTGGACGTTCGTTTCGTTCTAATGTGAGACTCCTCAGCAAATTACTTTATTATGAGACTTTACTATTATTAATCCATGATGACTAAATGCAGTCTCGTAGTTGCTGGTGATCGACGATTGGTTCATGCACCATTTGTTTCCTTAGAATCCTTGAGCCAACCTATGTACACTATTGGTTTAGAGTCAGAGTTTTCCAACTCCTCTAGGTGCGTCCTCCATATCCACCAACTTGACTAAAGTGCCAGACATTCGCTTTTCATCCTCTCAGTTTCGTAAACAACACCCGTGTCACGAGAATGCAGTGAGTAGGACATCTCTATGTCAGTGATTGTATGTACGTGGTCATGTGAGAGTATTTGAAGAGGGAGAGTTAACTCTCCCCACTCTTCGGCCATACCAGAGCATTTGGGTACCATAGTAATCATCTCATGTGCATTTACATAGAGATATTAGGATGTGATGAACAAAAGAATATTCATCGCTAATGTTTGATATCGTTCTGCCATAAACTAAATAATAAGTCAATAAAGTAATCACTGATAGTCAAGACAACTCATAAATTTCATTAAAATTATGAATCCATCTAAGTTAGATCAGCATAAATTAGCTCTATTCGCAAACTGAGGTTATAGTGATGGTTTTTGTTATTTTGTACTATGTCATGATTACTGAGGAATAAATGGATAAAAAAATACAATGAAAAATAGCCACTGTTATGATAATGTTCACTTTGTTCATATATCACGCGTTTGTGCACGATAGTGAAGAGCACCCGATCGAATACAGAGTACAGGTTCGTCGATACGCACAGTTAAAAAGTGCCATACCAGGACGAAACGGCTATCCAATGTTTCCGAGTGTTCAATGATAACCTAACACTTATCCATTGATGATATCAAACTAAACTCAACAGACTTCATAAACTACGGAAATTTTCAGAGTGTCTAGTGATATGCCGAATAAATTGTCTACTGTCATCATATAATAAGGATCAAAACTGAAGACTGATGAAATTTTTATTTAACTTCGACTCTCTGGCATGTTTTTTTATTACGTGGATTAAACGTTTTCCGTTCAGAGTTGTCAACTCATGCTCTAATTATACTTGGAAAATACTAATCTTATCCCTATAAGTAAAGATAGTTGGTAGGTAACAGTAGAATCCAGGATACACGTTTCAAGTGAATGATACAGGGTTCAAGTCCAACAGTGGATATCTAGCTGATCAGTCTCAAATAGAACAAACGGAGTATCTCGCATTCCACTATTAGCCATCATCCATCCAAGTTTATTATACTCGTCACTTATGTCAATATCGAAGTAATCCACACACACACACAGGATGTACAAATGTCAACAAGAGACTGATCAATTACAATCCTCAATATCGATGTGTAGTAACTTCAAATAAACCATACCGAATGAATGGAATCTAATCATAATATAAACTACATAAAATCGATTTCGTATCACCATTCAATCTAAATTACTCTACTTTTATTTCTTCTAATAATTTCAATATTCTAAATTTTAGATTTGGTCGAAGAAGATGATGATCATGATCATAACGATGGTAATAATGATCATTATCATCATCATCATAATAATGATTATGATCATGATAATTTAACTAATTTACAATCATATAATGCATTCCTATGTCTTCTTTATGTCATTGTTTATTCATTTCAATCATACATTTAACTTAAACTACACACTACACTACACTACACACTATACTATACTACACCCACACTCACTCACACACTCACACTCACACTAACACACACACGTACACAGTTATACCCACATATATCATCTATCTACATACAAATGAACAATAATACAGAAACTATTTATAAGAATCTAATTGAATGTGGGCTGTTAGTAATGTGTTGTATGTGTTAGTATCCATATATGATTTGATTTAACTGAATAGTTAACTCTTATTAACTATTATGTCTAATACTTACTATTCAACTCAATGAAATAATACATTTATTTATTTATTCATTGTGAATCATTAAAAAAAAAGAAAAAAAAGGAAGAAGAAAAAGAAAAAGAAAAAAGGAAAAAAATATTGATTATTTGTGATGCAAGAAAAAAATAAAAAAATTTCGAGAAAAAAAGAGCACAAATTACATTGTCTTTTTCTTTGTTGTTGTTGTTGTTTAGATTGATTTCGAACATTATAGAAGATGGTTTATTATGATTATCATCGATAAGTGAACACATGACAATTGAGAATAGAGGGTTGTCTAATTTGTACAGTTAGTAGTTATTTCTGTCGCTTTCTTGCTCTCTCTCTCTCTCTCTCTCTCTCGCTAGTTCACTCACTCTTCCTACCTCCCCCCTCTCTTTCTTTTTCACCATAGATACATACATAATACTAATGTGTAATAGAATGAATCGATAAAAAACTGTCATATTTACTTCTAAATCAATAGTTTAAGAGAAAATAAGATGTGTGTATGTTTGTGTTTGTTTTTTTGTTTTGGAGGGAGTTTTGTTTTTGACAAGTGTAATTCAAATATCATCGTTTTTTATTGAAATGATGAACTGATTGATGTTAGACCACCATTGAAAACTTGGAAGCACTAGATGGCCGTCTCGTCCTATTGTGGGACTCCTCATCAGTGCGCATCCACGATCCCACTCGCGGGATTCGAACCCAGGGCTTTCAATCTCGTGTGCAAACGCTTAACCTAGTCGACCACTAAGTAGGCTGGGATCCGACGGTGTTAATGTCTAGCCTCAACCAATCCACGAAGTTGCGCGAACATCATCTATTGTACTGAGGTAGACACCTGTTTCTGCCAGACACGGATTAACTCCATTGGTCATGGCTTCTTACCAGAACTTCGAGAATTTTCTCACAAAGCTAGTCACTAGTGAGCACATGGTAATTATCAGTTTAGGGGTTGTTGAGGATGAAAAGTTTTTTTTTTGATTGAGATCATGAACCGATTGGTGTTTTCATTGATGAATTCAATGAATCAAAAATATTAAAAGGGATAATGAATATGTAACTTATGAAATAGTTCATCTACTTGGATGTTGATCGTTCTGTATGAATTACAAAACATGTGTAAAATAGAAAATATTTAATTAAGATCATGAATCAATCAATATTAGATCATTATTAAAAGCCTAAATGTACTAGATGGCTATTTCATTTTAATATGGAACTCCTAAAGGGATTCGAATCCATAACTTTTAGTCTGGTACCTAAACATTTAACAACTAGACAATTGTGGTAATGTTTATCTTCAACTTACGCGATCGTTTTTTGATTGTCTTCAATGTGTAACTCCTTTACAACAGATTCGATTGAACTTCACTGGTCACAACATCTTAACTTACGAAGCTAATCACTAGTGTAGCAACAGCAATTTGGAAGACTCTTCCGGTCTCCTACATTGTATGAGCATTTCATGTACCTAAATAAATGATTACTCTGATTGTCGGAAAGGGGCATCGGCCTCGTAACTTCCGAAGGAACTCGGCTTTTATCATGAAGCGTCATGACTCTTCTAAATGAAGACATTCTAATTCCCAGGGCAGAGTTTAAATGGGTTGAATTATTTTTTCCTCGTTAGCGTTTTTTAGCGAGTTAGCTTTCTATGGGATGGCGTCGCTAACCTCATGCCCAACCCTCCTCCTTTTTCCGGGCTTGGAACTGGCAGTAGCCCCCGGGAGGGACTCCAGGTGGGGTCATTAGTGAGCATATGTTAATTTTTAGTATGGTATTGTAAAGATTGTTACCATTGATCGACTAAAGATTTCAACAATCACATATTGATAGAAAATAGTTCTCAGTAGTCAATTTAACTAACTTACTGTTTATAAGAAGTTACATGAAATTATTGTTTTGAATCACTGTTAAGTTTTAGTCGTCTAGGTTGCTAATCCTTGTATGTTGCTTCGTTAAATTCATCAGAAAGAATGTAGTGGAATAATTAAATGAAAGAAGATGTATTTAAGTAATTATGTAGTAAACAAGAATATAGGCAGGGACGAAGGAGTGAAGTCTAATACAACATTATAGAATATCTTGGTAAATCTAAGATCCATACAGTAAATATTTCATTTGCAAACTATTCATCAGTTGTCTCAAACTGGATTGTTCCTTCCTTCGTTCTTACACTAATTACTCTCTATTCCCATTCTTTTCTATTCGATCTTGTTAATCTTCTACTGTCAGGCATTTCAGTTTTGATTAGTGGATGATCCCAACTACTTATATCTGTCGACATCAGTAGTAAACATCACAGTAAATGATGTATATATTACTTAAAATATGTGATATTATTTAAACTGAATTTTCACTTTATCTAACTATTCTGTCTATATTACAACATATTACATCACTTACTTTACAGTATTCTGAGAATTCGAACATCATAATCTTGACAACTGTCATCATCGTATCTCATTCATAAACAATTAATAGTGGACCTCGGCGTCTACAGGACAAGCTGTGAATCACATGTATAGTAATTCGAACACTTCACATCTACTTGATATTTGTGCTGATGATGTCGTTCAGAAGAACGATGAAAGATCCACGAGTAAATCATCCAACTCAGAGAACAAAACTTCATCAAAAACATCCATATGAGCTATATATTTTTTCTCCCACCATCTTAATTAATAATAAATCGTTCATTAGAAATCATATGGAACAGATTAAGAAAAGTAAAGTAATTTAGATTCAACGGTGATATGAAATTTAATGAAATGGATTTTATGTAGTTTATATTATGATTAGATTCCATTCATTTGGCATGGTTTATTTGAAGCTACTACACATCGATATTGAGGATTGTAATTGATCAGTCTCTTGTTGACATTTGTACATCCTGTGCGTGTGTGTGTGTGGATTACCTCGATATTGACATAAGTGACGAGTATAATAAACTTGGATGGATGATGGCTAATAGTGGAATGGGAGATACTCCGTTTGTTCTATTTGAGACTGATCAGCTAGATGTACGTACATTTTACAGTTGATATTCACTGTTGAACTTGAACCTTGTATCATTCGTTTGAAACGTGTATCCTGCATTCCACTGCTATCCACCATCTATCTCTGTCTATAATAGCTAGTTCATTTGAATCTGTACGTTAGATAAGCTAGATAATTCTCATAATAAAATACATCACAAACTTCCCCCTATTCATCAGTTATCTTGAAGTGAACACTTATCCTACATAATATATATTTTATGACTTTAAATCAAATGTAAACACAGTTTGATAGGCTTTTATTTTCAACTATGAAAGTTATTTGTTAGTTTATTTCATATAATCAGTCAGTCAGCTACAACGTAGGACCTGGCACATATTTGCATCGGTCAAATTTGCCACAGCTCATTAGCAATTTCGTGGATTAGCTGAGGTTAGACATTAACACCATTGGATACCGACTCATTGGTCTAGAGGTTAAGCGTTCGCCATGGGTTCGAATCCCGCGAGCGGGATCGTGGATGCGCACTGATGAGGAGACCTATAATAGGACGAAACGGCCATACAATGCTTCCAGTTCATGATCTCAATCAAAAACTTGATAATAAATGAAGTAGCACACTTAATCTGAATTATGTTATTATATAGTGAACAAGAACACAAGTGGGAACAAACAAAATTACAGAATCTTTTAGTAAAATCTGAGAATTATACTTCATTTGCGAAATGTTAATCTATTGTCTCAGACTTCATTGTTCTTTCGTTTCTATACTAACCATTGTTTGTTCTTGTTCTCTTTTCTTTGATCTTCTCAACTTTCTGCCGCCAGGTATTTGACAATCGATTAGTGATACATACTATTTATATCTGTTGACATCAGTAGCACACATTACATCTAGCATTGAATACATGTAATATGTAACAAATAGTCATTCACGTGTAATCAGACAAGTGTATTAACAGTAGAACCTCATGTAATGTAATAAAACGAAATCATGAGTTATGACATTAATCCTTTAATTTAAAATGGAGTAAATTTATTATTAATGTTAGTTAAAGACACATAGGGCTGAATGTTTGAAACCATATCCACTGAAGTTTTAACGATAATTATAGTAAGAAGAGAATAGATTTACCTTAAGATATAATTCAACAGTAGAGTATATAATGAAAATCGTTAATCTGGAAGCGTTGAACGGCCGTTTCGTCTTAGTATCGGACTCCTCAGTAATGCGTACGCACGATCTCACACCAAAAGGATTTGAATCCATGACCTTCGGTTTCATGCTCAAACGCTGAACATCTAGATGACTGAGCCATCCAACTTCAACCAATCCACGAAGTTGAGCCACTGTCCATCATTGCCTTCAGTGAGTTACTGACTAACAAAAAATCCAAGAAATCCATCTTGAAGTAAGTCATTAATAAACATATGGATGCCAGCTCAGTGATCTAGATATTAATCGTTCGTGCATGAGACCAAAGGTAATGGGTTCGAATCCCTTTGGTGTGGGATCGTGGATAGTAGAATGTAACAGTCATCCAATACTTTCACGTTTTTAATGATGTTCTAACATTGATCAAT